TGTCTAGAATTCACCAGCATGCATTTTTATCACAAAAACTGAATAAATAACTGCCAAGTTATTAAGTACATGATGCTAGTCACTTTTACATGCATCATCTCCTTTTGGCCTCATTAGTTCCGTTAATGTCATATGTCTGGTCTTTTGAACCATGTTGTTGTTAGCTGCTGTTGCGTTGACTGTGACTTACAGTGACCCCATGTACAACAGAATGAAATGCTTCCTGGTCCTGCGTCATCCTTATAATTGCCAGCATGTTCGAGTCTATCATTGCAGCCACTGGGCCAATCCATCTTACTGAGGTCTCCCTTGCCCTAATTGACTCTCCTTCAACAAACATTATGTCCTCCTCCAGCAATTGATCTCTCCTGATGACATGTCCAAAACAAGCGAGTCAGACAATGTTCTGTTGTGATCATAAGGTTTTCACTGGCTAATTTTTGGAAGTAGATCGCCAGGCCTCTCTTCCTTTGTCTTGTCTTAGTCTGGAAGCTCCACTGAAACCTGCCCACCATGAGTGACCTTGCTAGTATGTGAAATATTGGTGGCATAGCCTCCAGCATCATAACAACATGCAAGCCACCACAGCACAACAAACTGGCAGACCGGTGGTAGAACCACATCAGCAGACATATCCCCATTTTATAAATGGTACAACATTGATATTTCATAATAGTTGAATAAAAAATGTTTATAATAGATATGATATCTGCAAGATAATACATAACTCTTTCAACAGATCATTTCTTGAACATAGACAGTTTAAGTGTCAGAAATACTCAAAAAGCCTTTAGAACTCTGAATTAAGGAAAAGAATTCTCCATTCTATCCACTTTGCATAAGATACGTTAGTAGAAAAGTACTAGCCACCTGAGGAAATTCAACATACTTTAGAAAAATGCACTGAAAATAATGACTATTTTAGAGCCATAAATAGGGTAATGACAAGAAAGTAGTCCTGTGGACAAGAAAAATCGGGGAGGAATCAATCTATGGACACATACACAAAGTTTACAGTAGGAAAGACCTGTGCTGGTAAAACATGTCCATATTATCTGAATTTTGAATGTCGATTACATAGCCAGATTGTTGGAGGTTTAACAGCTTTCTTTTGGTAATGTCAGCAAAGACAGAAACAGAAGTAGAACATTTCACTCTAAATTAGACAAGATTCTTTTAGCTGCAAGTGACAGAAACCAAACCTGAACTAACTTAGGTCAAGAAAATTAACTGGCACAAGAACCCTGTGAAAGTGTTGAAACCAACACAACTGAGTAGGAATTTGGGTGGCTTTCAGGAATTGCTGAATCCAGAACTTAAACATCATAAGGATTCTGTTTCCCCTATCTGTGACTGTCTATTCCCTCTCACTCAGGACCAGCTCCTTCCACCTCAACAGCAAAGTTAAAAAGTAAAAAAAAAAAAAAAAAAAAAAAAAGAGAGAGAGAGAGAAGTTAAAAAAATAATCTCAAGGAATGAACAGATTGGCTCCTATCCCTAGACTAATCACTGGGGGTGGGTGTGGTAAGTTAGGTGATCGCTGCTAACAAATCAGCTGTGGCTACGGAAGCAGGGTATGAAAGAAAATGACAGATCGGCAGAGCTATATGAGTGGAGCCCAGAGAGGAGTTGTTCCTAGGGGGATGCTGTACCCAGACAAATGTGGAGGTGTGTAGTGTAAAAGCAAAAGGTATCTTCCCAGTGAAGAACCAAAAGAAAGGGCAAGGACAGAGGCCTTTAAGCTCTTGTCTTCAATCACTTACCTTAAGTCCTGAATTTCAATTTCTGTGGCCAAAATGAAGCCTCTGGTAACTCTGTATAAGCAGTAGACTTTGAGCATAAAAAAACTTTTGGCCATTCCAGAAGTGCCAAAAAGATAATGTTTTATACACCTCTTGATTGATTCTCTTCTCTCCATTAATAACACAATTACATATGTAATTAAACTAACGATGTTTAATATATAGTACTTTCAAATTGGCTGACATATTCTTCATTCATTCAACCAATACTAAGCCAATGTGCCAGGCACTGTATTAGGCACTGAAGCATAAAAGCAAACAAGACATGGTTCCTGCCTGAGATTGCAGTGGGAGATACAGAGAAGCAAACCAAAATCAAACCAAACCCACTGCTGTTAAGTGGATTATGACTCATAGCAACCCTATAGGAAAGAGTAGAACTGCCCCATAGGGTTTCCAATACTGTAAATCTTTATAGAAGCAAACAAGCAGTGATAATCCAGTATGATACATGTCAGTCCAGGGATAAGTATAGGGTGTATTGGTATCACACAGGGATGGCACTTAATGATGTTGATATCTAAGATGAGACCTAAAGAATGTGCAGGAGTTGTTGAGAAGAAAGGAGTTGAGAAAGTGTGACAACCAAAGGGAAGAACATGTACAAAGGCTCTGGGATGCCAGAAATCATGGCACATTCTAGGAACTGAAGTGGTTTTATTATAAGGCTGGAGTACAGTAATCAATGAATGGAAGAGTGAGGTTAGGCCAGAGAGGTAAACGAGAGCCAGGTTGTAAACCATATTAATCATAAGGGCAATGGGGAGACATGAAAGAGTTGTAAGCAAAGGAATAGTAGGATCAAATTTGCATTTCGGAAAGTTTACTCTGGCTATGCTGTGGAGAATGAATTGAAAGAGGGCAAAACTTAGGAGGATGTTGTAATTTATGTGAGCAATGATGTTAACTTAGTGTAGTGAAAATAGAAAAACTGAGTATAATTCAGAAGGTATACTCAAAGGGGTTGATTGTGTCTAAGGAAAGAGAGGGGACTAAATTAAGGATAACATGTAAAATCTTGGCTTGATCATTTGAGTGAATGGGAGTGCCATTCATTGAAGTAGGGAAGACAAGATGAGAAGATTTGGAGACAGGATAATAATACCGAGTTTGGGGTGCCTGTGGGATATCAAAATGGAGATGCCTAATAGGCTGTTGGATAAATGGATCTGGACTTCAATCAATCAATCTGGGCTGGAGGTGAAAGTTACAAGTATTAACAGAAGTAATGGGAATGAATGAGATATGTCAAGGAGAGTGTGTAATGTGAGATGAAGAGGAGAGTGCTAGGGCAGAATTCAGAAGAGCAGCAACAATAAAGAAAGGACACAAATAGGGGGGCCAGCACAAGAGACTGAGAAGCAGCCCTTTGAGGATTGGGAGTCAAACCAAACCAGGGCCTGACTTTTCCATGGAATCTCTAAAATTGTTTCTTAAGTAGTTGATCTAAGAAGTACATCATTAGTGTCACAGAAACAAGGAAGAGAGACTTCTAACGTGGAGGGAAAGGTCAACAGTGTGAAATGCTGCAGAGAGATCATAAAATAACTGAAAATTGTCCATTAGATTGATAGCAAGGATATTAATGACCTATGCAAGGGCCCTTTCAGTGGAGCATAGGGAACAGCAGATGAAGCAAGACTGGGAGATTAAATATTAAGAAAGTGAATATAGACATCTTTGAAAGAACTTTGTCTGCAAAGGGAAGGGCAGAGATAGGCAGGTACTAGGAGGGGACACAGGGCTGAGGATTTTTTTTAAGATGGAAAAAACTTGAATAGTTTTATTCTAAATTTCATACAGCTAAAACCATCAACAGTAGACTTTTCTTTTCCTCTTATGAGTCAAAACATACACAGTAAAGTGAGTTAATGCACTAATCTTAAGCATTCCATTTATTTAATTCTTACATGTATATACACCAATGCAACCACCACCCAGATCAAGATGTAGAACATTCCCAGCACTCCAGAGGGTTCCCTTACCCAGTCAGCCTTACCCCCAAGAGGTAAGTAACCACTATTCTGATTTCCATCCGTATAGCAAAACAGGCACGTTTTGCCTGTTCTTAAACTTCATGTAAATGAAACCGTACAGTATATCTGTGAGATTCATCCATGTGTTGCATGTAGCAGTATTTTAGTTTTTTTTTAATTGCTGTAAAATATTTTATATTATGAATATACTACAATTTATCCATTTTCCTCTTGAATGATATCTGGGTTGTTTCCAGCATTTGGTATCGAGTCGATTCCAACTCATGGTGACCCCATGTGTGTCAGAGTAGAACTGTGCTCCACAGGGTTTTCAACGGCTGCCAGGTCTTTCTTTCTAAGGCACCTTTGCGTAGACTTGAATCTCCAGCCTTTCACTTAGCAGCCGAGTGCATTAAAAGCTGCTATGAATATTCTTGTACATAACTTGTGGTGGACATAGGTTTTCACTTCTCTTGGATCAATGCCTAGGAGTAAAATGCTGGATCATAGGGTAGGTGTATATTAACTTGAGTAAATATAGTCAAAGATTGTTTGAAAGGAGTAGTACCAATTATACTCTCAACAGCAACATACGGAAATTCTTCTCACCAAGTTTTTGGTTTTGTCTTTTTAATTTTAGCTTTCTGATGAGCAGACATTTTGAAAGTCAGGTTTTCTGAGATTGTGAAAAACAGTTTCCCAGTTTGTACTTACAAAAAGTTCAAAGCTTTCTACCTTAGGCATTTCCCATTATTGACTACTGCCCTTCTGTAAACCAAATCTAATATTAAAAACATGTAAACATAATTCAGGATGTTTCTTGAGAAATTGGAAATTTAATTCCTCTTTATAGTTAGCTAAATTATAACAATGATCAGGAAAATCCTGTCAGAAATAGCCTCACTCTTGATTATAAATATGTAAGAAATATCACCATCCAATGTACTAGTAAGAAGCAAATGAATTATGTGATGATGAAAATGCCTCATTGATGCATCTATTCCAATTCACATTCTGTATAAGTAAGTCTGGAGATAATGGCTCTGTTTCCTCTTCTCATTTTCATTTTAATGAACTGTATTTGGAATTATCATCCACTATGATCAAAATTATAGAACCCACTATTTTGAAGAATTCTAGTGGGTCTTTGGAGAGGAAATAATAAAACATAATAAATTATTTACATAAAATTGAATACTGATTATTTTGTGTTTTGACTCACATTTTCTCTGTCTGATGCAATTTCTGTTTGATGCAACATCTGAAACCTGATAAAGAAAATAAATATATAACATACTCAAATAACATTACCTATATGATTTATTGTTGTCATAAATAAATATTTATTCATGTTAATATTATACACAAAGTTGGTTTTCAACATTATCACCTAATAATTTAATTTTCACAAGTGTCACGGTAATTAGAAATATGTCACATATTTTACCAAAATAAGATGGTTTACAGATTTAAGTGCAAAACCTGAAGTGATAAAAGTACTAGAAAATAACATAGATACACACATATTATTGAGCTGGGAAAAGCCTTTCTAAAAATGATACTAAAGTCAGTGACTATAAATAAAACACTTCACACATTAGACTATATAGACATTAAAAATTTCTATGTGCAAGTTAAACACTGCCACATAAAAACAGATAAATCCAAATTTGAAACAATTTACCAGACAACTGACCTGGTCTCTTCAAAAAAGTCAATGTCATGGGGGGAAAAAAATCAAGGAATTATTCTAGCTTAAAAAGAGGTTGTTGTTGTTTGATATTGGTGTTGGTGGTGGAGTTGGTGATGTTGTTTGTTGTTGGCGTTGTTAGGTGCCACCAAGTCAATTTTTAACCCATAGCAACCCCATGTGGCAGAGCAGAACTGCCCTATAGGGTTTTCCTGGCTGTAATCTTAACAGAAGCAGATCACCAGGTCTTTCCCCGCAACAGAGCCACTGGATGGGTTTGACCTCCCAACCCTTCAGTTAGCAGCTGAGGGCTTAACCATTGCACCACCAGGGCTCCTTAGAGAGATTAAAGAGCCATAGCAACCTGCTTGATTGATTTCTGGTTTTTAAAATTTTTTAAGTGATACTTGGAGGCCATTGAAAAATTTGAAAACATAATAATAGGACTGTTTTGTGTATTAATTATTTATATGATTATTGTCTTAATTAATTTCTATATCTATTTATTTATTTGACAGTTTAAAGACAAACATATTGAGAAAAATATTTTCAACCAGTGTTTCAGAAATAAGTTACTAACTTACCTTAAAACATCTATAAGTTAGTAAAAAAGACAGGCATTCCATGAATAAAACAGGCAAAGGACAAGAAATTCCAATTCATGAAAGAAGAAATAAAATGGTCAGAAAACTTATGGAAAAATGTTCTAGCTCACTGGTCATCAGAAAAAAAAGGCAAATTAAATTGCCAAAGATTGAAAAAAGTTATGACTTCTCAGCAATGACTGGTAGGGGATGTAAGTTAGTTTAAACATGGTGGATGGCCATTTAGCAACATTTACACAAAAGCCTTAAAAATATCCCTACCTTTTGATTCAGAACTTCCAATTCTAATGACTAATCCGAAGGAAATAATCACACATGTTGCAAATATTTGTGTATAAGTTTTCCTTAAAATGGAATTCTATAGCTATATTAGCATGGAAAAGTGTTCATAATGTAGCATTGTTCTAAAAGCAGGTTACAAAATACTGTTTATGGTATGATTCTATTTATTTTAAAATTGTAGATTTTATATATTATATAGTCACTTAGGAAAACATGAAAAATACAATAAAAGTAAATTATTACTGAGTGGAATCATGGGTGACTTTTTGTCTTCCTTATTCTGTTTATTTTCTAAAGGTTCTGTAATGAATATGCATTAGTTTCTTATTAAGGAAAACATGTTACCTTTAAAAGAGAGCAATCTGTTATGTAGCTTTGCCGGTCTTTGGAGAAAAGTTTGTTTTTCACTTCCTTTTGCCATGCAGTAAAAGTGTTAAGAAGGAACTTGACTGTAGCTCCTGCTATATTTCTGTCTTAAGTCTGTATCAGGAGATATGAAGTACTTTCCTGCATATTTTCTCCACAAACACCTATGAAGATATTTGAAAAAAATCTGGTCTTTTGTTTTTATAATTAAAGAAAGAGAAGGGCATAGTGATGACCTGTCTCCCTTCTTTCTGTCGGAGGGAAATGGTAGTGAATGGGAAACTGGGGCCTGATTTTTCCACGGACGCTCAGAAGTTGTTTTTTAAGCCCTTAATCTATAAAGTACATCATGCTAACAAAGTCAATTGTGGTGGCTTCATTATTTTCAAGGATTAAGTCATGAAATTAATATGGCTACACTGTTTTACAGAACACCATCCTAAATAAAATATTACTTTTAGAGTGAATTTCAAACAAAATAATTTTGACTAACTTTTTCTTTAGAAATAAGTTCAGACTTAGAAAAAAGTTGCAGAAACAAAGATAGTACAAAGAATGTCTATATACCCTTTACTTACATTCACCTGTAAATATTTTACCCTATTTGCTTTAACATTTGATATATAAGTATCATACATATATGTATTTGACGCTTATACAGCAAACATTAAAGCAAATATGTATATATGGGGCCCCGGTGGCACAGTGTCCCAGGTGGCTGCTAACCAAAAGGCTGGCAGTTCGAATGCACCAGCTGCTCCTTGGAAACCCTATGGGGTAGTTCTGTTCTGTCTTATAGGGTTGCTAAGAGTCAAAATCGACTTGATGGCAACGGGTTTGTTTGTTTTTTTAATATGTGTATATGTATTGTTGTTGTTGTTGTTGTTAGGTGCTGTTGAGTCAGTTCTGACTCATAGTGACCCTATGTACAACAGAACGAAACACTGCCCAGTCCTGTGCCATCCTCAACGATCGTTCTTATGCATCAGCCCATTGTTACAGCCACTGTGTCAATCCATCTCGTTGATGGTCTTCCTCTTTTTTGCTGACCCTCTACTTTATCAAGCATGATGTGCTTCTCCAGGGACTGATCCCTCCTGGTAACATGTCCAAAATATGTGAGACAGAGTCTCGCCATCCTCCCCTTCTAAGGAGCATTCAGGTTGTACTTCTTCCAAGATAGATTGGTTCATTCTTTTGGCAGTCCATGGTATATTCAATATTCTTTGCCAACACCACAATTCGAAAGGCTCAATTCTTCTTCCGTCTCCCTTATTCATTGTCCAGCTTTCCCATGCATATGAGGCAATTGAAAACACCATGGCTTGGGTCAGGTGCACCTTAGTCTTCAAGGTGACATCTTTGCTTTTTAATACTTTAAAGAGGTCTTTTGCCACAGATTTGCCCAATGCAATGTGTCCTTTGATTTCTTGACTGCTGCTTCCATGGGTGTTGATTGTGGATTCAAGTAAAATGAAACCCTTGACAACTTCAATCTTTCCTCCGTTTATCGTGATGTTGCTTATTGGCCCAATTGTGAGGATCTTTGTTTTCTTTATGTGGAGGTGTAATCCATACTGAAGGCTGTAGTCTTTGATCTTCATCAGTAACCGCTTCAAGTCCTCTTCACTTTCAGCAAGCAAGGTTGTGTCATCTGCATATTGCAGGTTTAATGAGTCTTCCTCCAATCCTGATGCCATGTTCTTCTTCATATAGCTCACCTTCTCAGATTATTTGCTCAGCGTACAGACTGAGTAAGTATGATGAAAGCCTACAACTCTGATGCACACCTTTCCTGACTTTAAACCATGAAGTATTCCCTTGTTCTGTTTGAACAACTGCCTCTTGATCTATGTACAGGTTCCTCATGAGCACAAATAAGTGTCTGGGATTCCCATTTCTTCGAAGCCAAATGTTGTTATGATCTACACAGTTGAATACCTTTGCATAGTCAATAGAACACAGGTAAACATCTTTCTGGTATTCTTTGCTTTCAGCCAGGATCCATCTGACATCAGCAATGATATCCTTGGTTCCACGCTCTCTTCTGAATCCGGCTTGACTTTCTGGCAGTTCCCTGTCAAATTACAGCTACAGCCACTTTTGAATGATCTTCAGCAAAATTTTACTTGCGTGTGATATTAATGATATTGTTTGATAATTTCCTCATTTGGTTGCATCACCTGCCTTGGGAATAGGCTTAAAAATGGATCTCTTCCAGTCAGTTGGCCAGGTAGCTGTCGTCCAAATTTCTTGACATAGACGAGTGAGCACTTCCAGCACTGCATCCATTTTTTCAAACATCTTAATTGGTTTTCTGTCAATTCATGGAGGCTTGTTTTTCACCAATGCCTTCAGTGCAGCTTGGATTTCTCCCTTCACTACCATCAGTTCCCGAACATATGCTACCTCCTAAAATGGTTGAATGTTGACCAATTCTTTTTGGCCTAGTGACTCTGTGTGTTCCTTCCATCTTCTTTTGATGCTTTGTGCATCATTTAATATTTTCCCCATAGAATCCTTCAATATTGCAACTCAAGGCTTCAATTTTTCCTTCAGTTCTTTCAGCTTGAGAAATGCGGAGCATGTTCTTCCCTTTTGGTTTTCTATCTCCAGGTCTTTGCACATGTCATTAAAATACTTTTTCTTCTTAAGCTGCCCTTTGAAATCTTTTGTTCAGCTCTTTTACTTCATCATTTCTTTCTTTCACTTTAGCTACTCAACGTTCAAGAGCAAGTTTCAGATTCTCTTCTGACATCCATTTTGGTCTTTTCTTTCTTTCCTGTTTTTTTAATGACCTCTTGCTTTCTTCATGTATGATGTTCTTGATATCATTCCACAACTCATCTGGTCTTTGGTTGTTAGTGTACAACGCATCAAATCTATTTTTGATATGATCTCTAAATTCAGGTGGGATACACTCAAGGTCGTACTTCGGCTCTTGTGGAGTTGTTCTAATTTTCTTCAGTATCAGCGTGAACTTGCATATGAGCAATTGATGGTCTGTTCCGCAGTAGGCCCCTGGCCTTGTTCTGACTGATATTGAGCTTTTCCGTTGTTTCTTTCCACAGATGTAGTAGATTTGATTCCTGTGTATTCCACCTTACCTCTGGTAAGGTCCTTCTATATAGTTGCATTTATGTTGTTGAAAAAAGGTATTTGCAATGAAGAAGCCACTGATCTTGCAAAATTGTATCATGTGAACTCCGGCATTGTTTCTATCATCAAGGCCATATTTTTCCAGCTGCTGATGCTTCTTCTTTGTTTGCAACTTTTGCATTCCAATCACCA